CGTACATATATAGTAAATAAAAGCCTTTTTTTGAGGGGGAAAATCATCCAATGACTTCTCCCGCCCGAGTGAGGCGAGAGGGAGTGTCAGACTCTTACTGAGCAAAAACCACTCCGTTCCTACTCCTGCACTTCGAGCCGGAGCTCCGGTAACCCGTTAAGTCTTCCGCGGCTTCGTATCAGTAAATAAAAGCCTGCCTTTTATTTCAGCCAATGAAAATCATGATGTAATGTTTAAATTATCGGCTTCAGACAAAAATACGGAATTATTCGTTAGCAGTGATTTATCGGAGTTATCGGCCGGCTTCGGCATGCAATGTGAATGCAGATCCGGTTTGCGTTTATCGTGGTTATGATTTTTGTGAATTTTTATGCCCTCATTAGTGGGTTACACGATTTTGATTGGAATCCAGTTTTGTTTATTCCATTTGTATTTGGTTTTTGTTTACGTAATTGCTTTTTTTGTATTGTAATATTCAAATTAAAGGTCGCTAGAGCAAACAAATAATGCTTATTTAGTTGTGGTTGTTCAAACTGCGTTTATGTAATGAATTAGCCAATTTTGTTTTTTTTTGTGCTGGCGATGATGATGAATTATCTAATTATTATTAAAACCACTGTTTTTATCTCCGAACATTAAGATAGAATACTCTTAATTCTCTACATGGATTATCCTTTTAAACATTTTACCAAGTAGATACTTCAAAACCATCAAAACCTACACTACATACACCAATCACTCACACGTAGGTAATAACACAAATTGTGTAAAACAGAAAACGAAAAATTCAAAACACAATCACCAATTCAGATTCCATTGTTTTTTAAAACATCGTCGATTCAAGCAACGAATCAAAAAACAACAAAACGGGGCTTAATTTGAAAGCGCATTCTGAAGCAATGAAAGAAGTTAAAAGCTCGCGAAGGGTTGGCGAAAAATTATTTTGAAAATCACGGTTCACGGTTCACTCTTGACAAATCGCTTGCGGTTCGCCCAGGGTTGTCTAAGTATGGGATATTGCGTTGTGTAAAATTGGAATATGAAAATGTTATGTATTTGATTGGGTGTAGAATTTAAAATGTTTATGATGGCTTTGTGATTGGTGGAGCACTTAAAACAACATTTAGTTAGAATTTAATTTTCTCATTTTGTTACTTTGTTAGTAGAAGTCTAAAATATTTGGAAATGTATAATAATACGATATTGTGGACGTTTATTTTTCTATTTAATCTCAAAATAAATATACAAACGTGTACCACCACAAAAATATTACGAAAAGAAAAAAACGGCTCGTTATACGTATCTAAATGTTATAAATAACTCCGGCGACTATATCCATGTTAATATCCCGCCTGTGACAGCCCTACATGTCTCAGAGCCGACTATTTGTCTGGTTTACGTAGGTTAAAAAGTGGCGGTCCGTAATTCGGGGCCAGTGTCCCGTATAAATAAATTCCGCTGTCTTATCCTCGATTAATTAACGTGTGTTACGTCCTCCACTTTACCAGAGTTTATTATTCATATTTTTGTTTAAAATTTCGTACAAACAAGAAATTAGTAATAGCATAACTTTTCGCCAAAACCTCGCCTTTCTGTTGACTCCTTGTTTATCGTTTACGATGGGCTTTTGTCGAGTAAACTCAGACAAAATGGTGATTACATAATTGATGTTTGCATAATTTCTGCTTGTTTTGTTTCCCTCTTTTTTGCCAGATATAAATTTTAACTCAACATCCTAAATGCCGTAAATTATTTTATCTAAACATTGAAACGCCATAAAATCAAAGCGTTATACTTTTAACATGAAGATAAGTAAAGTTACGCAAATTTTATTCAAACGAGCGACCTCGAATCTAACGTTTAACATTCGATAGTCGTATTGACGGATAACCGGGGCGGAATCGCGAAAAAAAATCGCAACTAGCATAGATCGTCCAGATTTATGCGTTCAATAGCGATTTATTAGTCGGTGTACTCATGAATTTGACACCAAGCTTGTTTTTGTCACTGAAATAACGTACGCCTGTGACGTCATACGAAATACGGCTGTGCGCTTCCATCGACGATTTTTATTGCTTTAAATAAATAAAATTGCATCAATGAAATCTGTTTTTGTCGTTATGGATGGACGAGAGTTAGGTACGATGTTGTTTATGTTTGTTTATTTTTTGTTGAATCGATAGGTCATGGTTCTGGATTGTGATGAAATAATCATAGTTTGACATATACTACGTTTTGTATTTTGTGAATTTAAAACCCTATACATAGTATGTGTGGGTATAGACACTTTTTGACGGTTATGTATATTATTATTTTCATGCCAAGGTTTTTAGTCAAATATGTTATAAAAAAACATCAACAGTATTACGTATGAATTTGAAATAAAGCCTTGTTATCGTCAGTTCCATCTGTTACTCGAGAAAACCTTTGTCAATTAAACTTACCTAAAGAACCAATGATGTCGTTTTAGTAGCCATATTTACGATCTCTCAACCAATCAGACGAAGATCTTTGTGGTACATAACATTTTCATAAATCGATACAGAAATTATAATCTTTAATGTGTGTCGCCGATGTATGTATTTTGACTTATCTTGAACCAGTCAGCTATGTAATAGAGTTTTATATATTCATTTAATATTTTATGGTTTAACCCCGAGCTGTAAAATGTAAGGTTTGACGCGCACGATGGTACAATGTTGTGTCTTATGATCGATAATAGGTATTTACAACGAGACGTTTTAGAAGTGTCGTCTTACTGATCTATTTATTATTAACTAGCTACTTCCACGCGGTTTTACATGCTCTGCTCAGCTCCTATTGGTCGTGCGTGATGTTTTATAGCTCATAGTCATCCTCGATAAATGTGCTTTCCAACACAAAAATAATTATTCAAATCAGACTTGTAGTTATGGAGATTAGCGCGTTCAAACAAACAAACAAAAAGACTAATTATTCCGCTTTATATGTATAATAGTATAAAATTTAAACCTAATGTGCAATCATCGTACAAAGGCGGACATAATGCTATAGGCATTCTTTCTTGTCAACTTTTTGGGTACGTAATGTATTTTATGTTATTATAATTATTAATTATTATTAATAATTATTATTATGTATTAGTGAAAAGTGGGTGTTACATTGTACAGTCGCATTAAGTGCCAAAATGTGCACCTCTGCCTACCCCTTCGGGGATAAAAAGGCGTAATGTTATTATTATGTTAATTATTTACAGTATAACTGGTATTTTTGTAAATTCTCAGTAGTAGCACGGAGTTTGGAATTGTGCCCGGTATATGGCAATAGGCTCACCCCCTATTACATGGGACTCATAACATAAATAGTAAAAAGTGGGTGTTATATTGTACATTGGCATAGTGGTCATCATCCCGCATCTATCATAATAGACAGTTATCCCGCATCTATCATAATAGTGGTCATCATCCCGCATCTATCATAATTGATATAATATCACTCCTTTCGTCCCCGAAGGGGATATTATATCAATGTTATGTTATAATTATTTAACAGAGATCTGTATTGTGTCTGGTGTATGGTAGAATCATAACATAACCAGCAAAAAGTGACCTAAACCTCTGCAACTTTTAAGGATTAAAAGTGATTTCATAAAAACCAACATTAACTTCAAATTGCAATTAAACATAAATTACGGAACCCAAAGAAATGAAAATCAATACCATAACAATATTTACGCTCCACTTCAATTCCCTCCTATCAATAAACTCACTCAACCGAATTGACTTCAGTCAGGAAATAATTCATCTAATAAAGCCGAAAAGAAGATCGGAGTGCCAATAAAAAACGTCTTCAAAATTCCGTCGTCGAGTGCGCGTATCACCTTACTTGTAACGGCAGATAATTCGTGCGAGCCGTCTACGATACGTGGGCGGTTTTACAGCCGGATTATAAATCTATATGGACCGGATACGGTTTCTATAATTCAAATGACGGTTGTTAATAGAGCTTTGTATAAATTTCAAAGGGTTCAAATTAAGTCATACGTTAAACAAAGACGTGAGTGTTTGAAAACATTAAGGTTCTTTTTCACAATATCTAGTTAGCCGCTATCTACTACATGAAATTGAATTAAGAACGTCAGTTGAACTATCTGTCACATAAGTTTATCAGGTACGTATAAGGAGGTGGTACAACCGGCGCTTAATATATTATATTATATTCTACATAAATGTTAAAGTAGCTAATGCATCAAGGAGTAACATAAGTTGTTTTTATTTTAGAAAAACGAAAGCAAAGTTGCGGGTGCAGCTAGTTCTTAACATAAGCTGTAGCGTATTTAACTAAACTTTCTTTCTATCCACATTTACATAGCATATGTGTCTAGATATCTAAGACGAAAGCCTCCCAGATTGTAGAATGTTGTGTGTGTAGATTGTTGTAGTAGAGACAACCGCTTAATTCAAATTCGATACATCACACTACAGTACCCTTAGTAATCCATTCTACGTTACAAGACTAACATAATTTGGTTATAAAGTTTGTCAGTAACTCCCTTCTGTAACATTTAATGATCGTACCTTTCGCCTTGAAATCAACAATTTATGTTACATTTTGAACTAGAATTTCGCAATTATTTAGAAGTGATTAATTGTCTCTATTCATGAGTTAAATGATTATAACTTTGTATGTGATATTGTAAAAGTACTGTGTATGTCAACGATAATATATATGCTAGACTTGATTTAAGTTTGTCGCGGAGAACCTAACGGGTAACCGGGGATCGACGTGCAGGAGAAGGAACGGGTTGGTTTTTAGTCAGCAAGAGTCTGACACTCCCTTCCGCCTCACCCAGGCGGGAGTAGTCATTCGATGATTTTCCCCCCTTAAAAAAAAGACATTATTTAAGTTTGGCCAAACCTTTGCGTATAAAAAATGTAAAATCGTCAATTTAATTGGTGGTCAAACATTTATATTGAAAAATATCTGCTTGTTAACTAAATCATATATTTTCTTTGTTTCAGGCCAAAAAGTGGCTCAATGCTGCTGTACAGCCGTAAGAAGGTCCGCTACCGACGTGATGGCTACTGTTGGAAGAAAAGAAAAGACGGGAAGACCACCAGAGAAGACCATATGAAGCTCAAGGTCCAGGGAACGGAGGTAAGTCGAATTTCTTTAATTAGGACTTTGTTATGTGTGATTTTAGGTTTAATTTTATTTTTTTTATTGCAATAATGTTTAAGAATTTTGTCAGAGGTAGATTTTAATAATATTTTAGGATGAAGGTAACTATCGAATATTTTATTTACACGGATTTCGTTATCGACACCAAACTAAACTTGTAGATTTTTTTATTTCCATCGATATGGTTTGAAAATGTCATTTTCCATTATCCCAATGTTTTTATCTAAATAAAACTTCAACAACAACATACATGTCACAGGAGCATAGAACTTGAAATCGTTTTGGCAAAAATATCTCTATTTGAAAAGCTATTAATAAAATTTCGTCTGTCGGACACGAAACCTTGAGGTTAGGCCAAAACAGATAGAAAGACTGATTGCTATAGGGGAAATTAAAGAAAGCAACATTGCTGTCGAGAATTTAGTGGTATTTTGAGTCTAGATTCTGAATGCTTTTCAGCCTAGAACGCTTTGGAGCGTCGCTTTTGAAAAGTAGGTTAATAAAAGTGTTTTAAATGGAGAGCTGGTTGCTTTTTTGAGTGTGCAAGGGAGATAAAATATTCTGTTTATTTTATGTTAATAAAATGTGGTTTGGGTAAGATTTTGTGCTGGATTTTTAATACAAATACAATGTAGTTATACGTATGCTATAGCTGTGAGTTACACACTGGAGTGTGGAGATTAGGGCTAGTGATTTTATCATTGAATTCAGGTAATGAGGTTTTTTACTTAAGCGTCTTACTATAAAATCAAGTATTTGATACGATTACCAGACACTTTTCTATCAAAATTAGCTAGGTAAGTCAACTTCATCACTACGTAGAATAAAACAAAGTCGCTATCCGCCGTCTGTCTGTCCCTATGAATGCTTATATCTTTAAAAGTATGCAACGAATTTTGATGCGGTTTTTTTAATAGATAGAGTGATTCTTAAGGAAGTTTTATATGTATAAAATGCATATTGCACCCGTGCGAAGCCGGGGCGGGTCGCTAGTATAAAAATATATTTCACTTAATTGAGAGTGCTTTTAAAAGTTAACATATTTTAATATCATTATGAATACATCTAAGAACAATCCAGTTAAAATTTACATTTAACTATAAACTTAAAATTCCTGGGTAGCAAACTTCTAGAAAGTTATGATAGTAAACACCTGTGTATTACCATCTGTGTATTCTAGTCCCATTCACATAAAAGGTATTTGAATGGGTCACCGTTTACCGACATGAAATTCTTACACATGTATCATAAATGTCTCCCCAAGCGATGCTTAGCTTCTTCTCTTGATTATTTCGATTATTCCCAAGAAAAACATTTCTTCGTTTTCCACAATTGTGTAGGAAATACTTAAAAGGTATGCAAGTTTTTATGTAACACGTTTTACGTTAAGTTTTTCGATTTTAGTTGAGTTTTTTCGAGTTAAGTACATCTAATTAAGAATTTTTCTACTGATTTTTTTATGGGACAGGCTGGTAAACGAGCAGATGGATCACCTAATAATGAGCAATCGGCACCGCTCATAAATACCCGAAATACCATATAGCGGTCTAAATTAATTATTGAGAAGTTTTCAATTCTTGTGGTAATCAGATTTTCTGACAAGATTGTAATGTACCTACCTCTATTATAAACATATACCTAAAAGCGCTTTTTACTTTGAAAATGCTAGCCTTCACGTCACTACTGCGTTAGTATCCTCTGACAACGTTTTCAAGCTGAATCTACAGAATCCTAAACATTGTGCATTTGTTCCGTGCTCAGGAATTAACTGCCTGGAATAGCTTAATGACTTAAACGAGCCACTGCTAGTCTATGAGCCGTAGTCTCTTCCTGATTATGCACTGTCATCCTTTAACATAGCTCTTTGTTGTTAGGTATTTACCAAGATATAAACAGTCAGTCAGTGCCAGTCGATATTCCAATTTCGTTTCTTAAATTGTACACTGGTTGCTTCAGTGGTCAAATGTAGGTTTTCAGTTTGATTCGAGTAGCGAGTTATCGGAGGTAAAGTTATATTAAGTTTTCAGTATGAAACATGACACTTACGGTTCCATGCATCAAGCAACAAAAGAAATAATGCTGTGTTACATTAGTATTAAGGACTCAAATGAAAGAAACTATTTACGATTTTTGTCACAGACAAATGTATCGTCCCACCTTTGTTTACCGCTTCACAGTATAAAAGGCGTGTTAATGTCTATCATTTAGCACGTTGATAGTTTCTTCACCACAACCTTGGAACTGCGAAAAGAAACATTAAAATAATGTGACCAATACATTACCTCAACCCTAAACCGCTAACCTAGAAAGCTGAAGTCAGAAAAAGTAGGTAGGTATTTACCAAGCAATTTTATACTCACTTTTACGAAAACGTGAATGTTATACAACCGTAGAGTTTCAGCTTTTCACTATTCACACAGTTACTATTCACCTTGGGGTGAAAAATGAATATCGTTAAGTAATTACCCCCGGACCCGGTTTCGTTTCGTGATTTGCCCCAAATCGTTTGTAACTAAGAACTTTTGTTAGGTTTTGTTTGTATGTAGGTATGTGTATGTTGGTTCGGTTTTCAATTAAAGTTATGAAGTTTTGTTTGGAGGGGTGATTGTGTGAAGGGCATAAATATAACTTTTGATATGACTTTTGTAAGTATTTTTGGTATAGTGGTTGCAGGAATGATTAATTAATATTATTTGTAGAAAAATAATAAGCGCAAAATTTCGATTATCAGCCACCTTAAAATGGCATTTGATTCGTAAGTCAATACTGTGAATAGACATCTTTTCTATTCATTCGTTAGACTAGTGTTTAGGCCAGTTGGACCATTTGTCTATGACAGTCGGAGAAATAGTATTTTTACCTACTAAATATTTAAAAATAAATTCATAAAAAACTAAAATATAGTTCACAAGGAGTCTGGAATCGTGTTCAATGTTGCGTAAAACGCTCTTGTCCTTAAAATAAAACATTAGTTCCGTTCTACTTACTTTTCGCTACATGTCCTTAATATTATAGTTGAAGACGTAGCTATTGGACGATGGATATATTTGAAAATATTACTATATATACCTTCCCAAAATAGATATGTACGGTATTATAAAACATAATAAGGTATAAGGACTGCCTCTTTGGCTGAGTGGTCGCAAGTGCAACTGCCGGGCAAGGGGTCTCGGGTTCGATTCCAGGGTCGGGCAAAGTATTACTGGGTTTAAAAAAAAAACAGTAGTAGCACGGAGTCTGGAATTATGCCCGGTATATGGCAATAGGCTCACCCCTATTACATGGGACTCATAACATAAATAGTGAAAAATGGGTTTTACATTGTAGATACAGTGGCATAATGTGCACCTCTGCCTACCCCTTCGGGGATAATAGGCGTGATGTTCTGTTATGTTAATAAGGTATCATGATGATAGTACGCATTACTATTTATGATACGTTTACCAAATAGTTTGGTTCATTGTACCTAAAATTTCATAGTAATATGTAATTTTGAGCGAGGTTATTGCACAGATATTTTAAAGAAACACAATAAAAACCTTTGTGCTTATTATAAGTGCTTCTGCATTAAAAATAATACAGTACATACACCGAGGATCAATTGCTGCAGACCATATTTGCAGCCACTGTACCAACGAGGTAATCATAGTACATACAACATAATTAGTCAAATTGGTTCAACCATAAAATAATCCCCTACTAAACAATTAACTCTAACATCGACATAACCAAACGTGGATTATCAACCACAATGATAACCAATAGGCAGACGGAAGCACCATACATCATCCAACATATCGTCCCGCAAATACAGCCGATCCGACGTGCACTGATGAATAAGTAAATGGTTTCGTTGCAATTAAACGAGTAGGATGGGTCGGACGCTAATTGCAGCAGATCGATGGTATATCTGTATGTGCTGTGTATGTGTTGGTGGTTTTTTTAATTTTGTAGTTGTGTGATGTAGGCTCGTGAGTGGGTGTTTGACGTTTGTGGCTCATTTTATAAACAATATTTTGATTCTTACGTTAGTAGCCTCGTTAAAGATGATACAGATTAATTTATGACTCTTGTGTTCAATTTTGACATATTGTCAAGTCTTTTTATCTTCCAAGGGGTAGCCAGAGGTGCTCGTAAGCGTTGTAAAACAAGAGAGTTCCAAGTTAACCTATTTCTTTACATTAGGCGCAATCCCAGACTCCGTGGCTACAGGAATTTACGAAAATACTTTACCCAACCCGGAAATTGACGACACATTTGGCTTTGCTGTTGCAATTGAAATACTCTAGCATCTAACGTACGACACCTGACAAAAATCCTGTCCTAATCGACTTAAAATCACGGGTTACTCACGTGAATATACTGCGAAAAGCTCTACTAGTTACGAGCCACAAAAGGGCTCTTCCTCATGAGCAGCGTGCTCCTACTTAGTAATCTGCGATTTTTAGTTAATTTAGTATCTCTCACGTTAGTTATTATAAAAATCCTGTCCCACTTTCATTCTACTTCCTTCCTACCCTGAAAAGTCTAGCTAAAACATGCCAAAAGCCTGTAATATAGCATGGCGGGTGACTTATCTAGTTTAGCGTTACGGCATAATCTTCAAAGACTAAACTCGTCGTGCTCAGGTACACATTGCACTGGGCTAGTGCTTTTTGCCCATAAAGCAGTGACAGTCTTGCGTGCCTGCTTAATGTGTGGTCCAAGTTAGAGAAGGGTGGAGATTTTTGTCTTAATTGTATTTGTGAGAGTATGTATTATCGTGATAAGAGTATTATATGTATGTATGCCTTGTTGAGGTTGCTTTTGAAAGTTTTAACCACTTATTTCTGCTTTTCTTTGAACCATATTGTTATACGAACTTGTAATTAAACATTGAGAATAATGGTTTTTGAGTGACTAAAATATTTGAAATCACCTAATAATATTTATACTCAGATCAAACCATATTACGAAAACTATGAATAAATAGGAGC